CCCCCCCTTTTTTTTTTTTGCCATTCTTCCCTCTTTCTTTGGTTCTTCGGTGCAGAGCCAGGCAAGGGTTCTTCAATCTCATGCTTGCTTTATGTGGATTCTCAGATTTCTATTAATATTTGAACTTTTTTCCCTTTGGCGTGGTCTTACTGTTGTCTTTTGGTTTAGATATATTTAGAAAGTGCTTTACTTCTTGTAAGCTTATCGTGTGCAATATCTGAAGAGGAATTCTGTCTAGGCTATCTTACCTGATACTTAACTGCTGTAATGTACTAAGTAGTCTGTTTTTCTGTTTGACTGTTTAATGTTGTGATACGTGTCAAAGGCAGTGTGTTCTTAGAAGAGAAGAACTACTGCCTGCTGCAGATAGTATAAAGATGCTGATTTCACTGTTTTTGTGCCCCTTCCTTACGGTATCTGAAACAGTGATCAGGATAAACAAAAATTCTTCTAACATCTTTGTTGTGCTTATTTGCTAGATGATAAATTTCACAGAATGGCATATCTTCTCAGGCTATAGCAAAAAAACTTGTGGAATTGCATGATTTGAAATGTCAATGGAAAATGGACACTTAAGGAAGCATGTGTGGGTGTTACCTCTCGCTTGTATGTGTGCCTCTCCATTCCCATTCTTAAATTTTGCTGTGGTTTTCAGCTAGCACAGCGTATGACACATGTTTAATTAAAGAAGCAATTTATCCTGTTCCTTTCCTGCTTCTAAAGTTTTGTTTACTGCAATTACAAGTTTTGCCTACTTCCAGATACTGCTTTGGGACCACACTCACAAGGAGACATGCCAGTGAAAGCATTTAGCCAGTGGCTTTTCCTGGCTGTGTATCTACAGAGCTGAATTTTCAGGATGTGTTCTCCTCTTAAAGCACCTAGTTTAAGATCTCTTGTTCCCCTTTGGTGCTCAGCCAGTAAGTTAGTGACCCTCTTCAGTTCATTGCATTTGTTTTGAGTTAGCATTTGGTTAGTTTTATGTGGCTACTTAGCTTTGTTGTGTTCTTTTCTGTCTTGATGCTGTAGGAGCTTTGCTTCTGTACTACTTGTAAAAGCTATGTGGTTTCCATGCTGTCATGTACCGGGTCTGTACTTATACGTTAAATTGCGCAAGAACTTAAGAATATATCTTGCAAAAACTGTGTTTGTGTGTATATACGTATGTGTAAAAAAAAAAAAAAACAAAACAAAAAACAAAAAAACCCAACCAAAACCCCAAAAAACCAAACCAAACCAAAAACCAAACAAAAAAACCCCCACCAAACCAAAACCCACAAAAATAAAAAAACACTACCCACTCAAAAAACCCCTGTCATCAAATATGCATTCTTTTATATGCCTCCCTTTCAAGAACAAAAAGATAACAATATTTGCTCTGTGTGTTGTTTTCTTCTTTGTCTCAGGGAAATGCTGGTGCTTTCTTTACATGTGTAATGTAATGTGTTAGAAGCTGATGTTTGGCTATTGTGTTAATCCGTGTCTCTGGTTTAAGGACCATGTTTCAAGAAGTTTTGAGTTGTAAGTAGGCAAAACCAACAGATAAAGACTATTGTCAGGAAGGCTTTGAAGTTTTGAGAAGTTTTCTTTGTGGACATCTCCTCTCCTTTATTTTTGGATTTCATCTTTAGTTAATAAAAATCTCTTGTCTTTCAGGCTATGAACCGTTCCCTTGCAAATGTGATTCTAGGGGGCTATGGCACCACATCAACAGCTGGTGGGAAGCCCATGGAAATTACTGGAACCCACACAGAAATCAATGTGGACAATGCAATTGAAATGATAAAGGAAGCCAATAATATTATTATTACTCCAGGTAAGACACTCTTGACTTATACAGCAAGATGTTCAGAGGATGTATTATTTTTAAAAAAAAAAACAAACAAGCAAAGACAAACAAACCCCAAAAAACCCTGTAGCCTGTCATGCAGTTGCAACATCACAGCAACGTGTCAAATATTGACTGGGTCTGTGTGATCTGGTTTTGTTCCCCAGTTAGTTATCATTCCTTTATGTAGACATGTGCATCCACTTTATTTTTCTTTATGTGTGTCTCTTCAAACTTTGTCCAATTTATTTAGATTTTAAATTCTTCAGGACAAAGACTGTCTTTTTTAAATTATATTTACAGTTAATGTTGTGTACAGCTGTTGTGGTGAGAGTTTCCAAGCACTACCACAGTACCAGTGGTACCAATAACAAAATATGTCTGTCAAATTGCTGAAAGAGAGGATTTTGTTTATGCTTCTCATCTCCTTGCTCAATTCTGCATTGTTTTATTAAAAAACCAGCAGAAAAACATCTAAAACTCAGTTAGTATACAATAAATACTGGAATTGAAGTAGAAAAAACCCTGAAAACCAAAACCCAGAGTTGTCTGAAACTATTATGTTGGCTGTAGGCTCATGTGGTTCAATAGGACATTCCCTGTCAGAAAAGGTCAGGTAGGGAATAGCTCAAGACTTCAACTGAATGGCACAACTGTTGTGTTAAATTTATTTTAGCTTTGGAATGAGAAGAATGCTAAAAAAAGTCATCTTTCATTTTGCTTCAGCTTAAACAAAAACATCAGTGAAGTAGGGTTCTAATTTGGGAAGTGACCTTCCCAAATTACCTCCAACAGAGCTTGCAAACACATTCAAGGAGTTTGCCTCTTGCTCCTGTGGTCAAACCTCGAGGATGCCATTAATAATTTATACTGTCCATTTTCTTCCTGGGCATTATTGCTCTGATGAATTAATTCAGACAGACTGAAAATATTATTTGCTGCTAAAAGCTATACTCTGCTACTAGATTTGCATTATGCAAATCCAAAATTTTGTTGAAAATAATGATGGTGAAGTAACCTGATAGCAGCCTCTTTATCAATTGTTCAGGGTAGCTGTCCAAATCATCCTGTTCTCATAGGAAAAGGAACACGTATTTTTGTGAAGCTGAAGTAAGTTACTTGTGTACTTTGGTCAAACCACTACACTGTTAGTGGTCAGGAGACCAAAAAGAAGAGATTAATTACAGTGATCAGGCTGGGAATAGATGAGTATTTGGTGTGTGTGTGTATGTATATATATTTTTTGTTGTTTATTTGTAAGAGCTTCTGTTTGTGTGGAAGGTACACTTAGTGTCTATAACTATTCTGTCTGCACTGAAACAGAAAAATAGCTTAAAATTTGGAAATTCTTTCAGGTTATGGTTTGTGTGCAGCAAAAGCTCAGTACCCCATAGCTGACCTGGTGAAGATGTTGAGAGAACAAGGGAAAAATGTCAGGTAACTACTTTCCTTGATGAAAAGCATTACAGGTTTGTTGTTTGGATTTTTTTTTTCATTCCATTGAAATCCTCTACAAGTCTTTGTTCTGGTTTAAATTTTCTTTCAGCAGTCATTATATGCTGATCTCTCTCTGAGAAATACTGGCTGGAGGAATGCTCTAGTCTTACTAACCTTTAGCTGAATATCTAGAAATTTCATGCTTTAGTGTAAAAGATCCCTTACACTCTTCTTAAATTTGGTTTTGGAAGTAGCCCCAGCAGTTGGAGAATAAATTGTTGTGGTGGTTTTTTGGTTTTGTTTTGTTTGGTTCATGCTGAAATTCAGTTAAAAAGAATAGCTTCAAAATTTAATACTACTTTATTGTAGCAATAAAATCTTAGTTTTTTGAAAGGTAAGTTAGCTCCTTTAGATGCATATGCTCTGCCTTTGGATATTGTAGTATTTTTCTATAAGACAAGCAGTGAAGGTTTTTTGTAAAATAAACTTCAGTGTAGCTTTTTGTATTGTTTTCAAGAGAACAGTTAGCAGCCTTTTCTAAAGATGGAGGTTGGAGGGCTTTATGAAAGCAACCACTTTGTGGGAATAATCACAGCAGCTGACTTCAATGCAGGGAGAATAGTTTTTCCTTTAAGCTTGTAGTCAATGGGGAGAGAGCACAGGCCTAACTCAAGTGATTTTAATTGCCACTTACAGAAACCGCCATTAAGGGGAATTGTTTACTAGGCTAAAGTAGCTTTAATTTTTTTTTTTCCAAATCCTAATTTCCTAAGAAAATGGACCCCTCTACTTGGGGAATAGTTAAAGGGGTGCAATGAGAATAGTTGAGGCTCCTAGGCAGGAAATGAGAGCCTCATGCAGGTATGGAGAAGTGTTTGTTGGGTTCAGTTTGGTATGAAGTGGAAAAATTGATTGGGTAGCAGCCTCTGCACCAACAGAATCACAGAGTAGTTGAAGTTAGAGATCTCTGGAGACTGTCTAGTTTGGCCAACCCCCTTGCTCAAACCAGAGTCAATTGGAGGGAGTTGGTTAGCCAAAACCCAACTGAACAAGATCCTATCCAGTCTCCAGAGATGGAGACTTGACAGCCTCTCTGGGCATTCAGTTCCAATGTTCTGTCACCCTCAGAGTGTTTTCCTGCATTTCAATTTGTGACCTTTGCCTCTTGATATCCGGTGAATGGACACCACTGAGAAGAATCTGGCTCTGTCTTTACTCCCCTCCATCAGTATTTTTACACAGTGGTAAGAGTCTCTTGAGCCTTCTCTTCTGCAGACTGAGGAATCCCAGCTCACAGCTTCTCCTTTTGACAGATACTCCAATTTGTGAAGCAACATAGAACTACTTTTACTAGGTTCCCATAAGTTTTTCTTAGGACAAGCAAGACTGTTATTAGAGTTCTTTGAGTATTGCATGGAGGGATTGTTGGAGTGCATGCGGCCAGTACCATGGATTTATTCTGTTGGACTGCTGCTCCAAAAAGCAGACATAATCCTTAGGTGCCAGTATTGGCCTCAAATCCTTTCCTTCCTCATTTTTTTCATAGACCTTATAGATACTGAAAGTACTGGAAAGCTAAGATCATGCCTCCCTTGCTGATTTTTTGGGAAACTATTTTCTAATTATGGTAACAATATTTTAAAGTTAGTGAAGACTCAGTTTTCATTTGAAACAAGATATTTGGACAGACGCTGGTTAGCCAGACTTAATCTCTGATTTCCATGTGTTTATTTCAATTATTTGGTGACTTTCCTTTGGAATCAGATCACTACTCTAGCAATGAGTGTTTTTTTGGTTTTGTTTTTCTTCTTCCACTGTTTTTCCAAGCTTGTTGAAAAGTCACACATAAGTTTTTACAGTGTTTTACAGTATGTGTTGTGATGGATAAAAGCAGGGCTGTTGTAGAGTTTAGCAGCAATTACTTCTTAGTGTTTATAGATTTGTTTCTTCATGCATACATCAGAAATTGAGGGTGTGTGCTAGTGTATCCTGGAGCAGTTCTCTTCACACCTTACTTCTCCATGTTTAGCAAAAGATCTGTGTGTGTCCAAATTGCATAAAAATTTTTGAAGACCTTTTAGTTGTGCAACAGAACCACCTTTCTTGGCTAATGCGATGACAATGTCGCGTGCTTTTGTCTTTCCTTTCAGTCCTTCTGTGGGAGTGAGCTTTATTTTTTATCAACCTTGGTGAAATAAAAAATTGTTGGTTTTGCCTTTTATGTTGGCTTTGTGGAGGAGAAACGTGAATGAATCCTTGAAATAACTGGCTTATACTTGAAATGAGTCAATTTCAGGAAGGGATCACTGCAGTGGTTACCTAGTATTTTAATGAAATAAATCTGTATTTACAGTTTGTGGTAATTCAGGCCTTTCATCACTTTGCGGAGCTCCCACGGTGTTCATTGAGTGCAGCTGCTGTCCCTCTGGTTTCAGTAGGCCGGGAGTGCCTCAGGACCCTAGTAAGCTCACCATCCAGATGTAGTGACACTCTCACACATCCGCTGTGGAGTGGTGCCAGCACGGACATACGATTGTCATCAGTTTGTAATGCCCATACCGTGCCAAGAAAAATTATGAATGTCCATATGGTCTTTTTTGCTTCATGGCTCACGATTGATCCAGAGGAGCTGTTGTTTTCATTTACTTTGCCTGTAGCCATAATGTGCTCCATGAAGAATGCAGATTATATAACATAACCTTTGATTAGGGGTTAAATTTAGAAATACAGGAGAGTTCAGAAACTTCAGACTATTTTAGTTTTTAAACTGCATAGCTAACATCATTGCTTACTTGAGATGATCTTGCAGCAGATCACATCTTTAATGCATTAGTAGGATCACATAAAAAGCTGGATATTACTGAGCCTTCGTTATAGCTTTCCGTTGTTATGGATGGGTAAAACAACAAAACTTTTCATAGGCTAATTCCCTAGAATCCATTGGTTTTGGAAAGGAAATGCTTGTTCTACAACTGAGTAAGTGGTTGAAAGTTCTTGCCTTACCAGAATTCTTCATCCACATGCTGTGTTGTTTGTAGTGGTGAAATTCTGATTTCTTATAGATAATTAATTATATTCTATAGTAATTCTATATATAGATGTAGAACTATTCTATAGCATTGTACGGTTTAAAACTATACATTCTCATGTGTGCATGAATAATTGATGCTGTCTATGTCCACATCAAGTTAACTATCTTAGCTTTTGCTGCAGTATGACTTTGCTAAGATTTTTTTTCTATCAATATGTTTTGTTTTCCTGCATAGTAAGAAACTCTTGATAAGAAAAATGTATTGCAGGGTGAAAGGACTCTTAAAATAGACTTTCTCAGTCTAACTTGTAATTAAATATGATGGCTTTCTGGTGACTCTCAATAGTTGAGAGAAATGCAGATTGCCTCTTTAACAGTTTTTCAAATTAGTTGCTAATACATTAATGTTTTGGTTTGGGGTTTTTTAACCTAATTTTTATAGGTGGATATCTTGAAGGACTTGCATTTCTGTCTTCTGATGCTGGAGAATCTAATTATTTTTAAGCACGTGGAAACGTGGGGTTTTTACATTTTTGAAAATGTGATAGCATGGATTTAGTGTTGGACCTGAATTTTTGGGGTTTTATTGTTACCTCCATGACTGACCTCTAATTAAATGTATTTAGGATTCTGGTTTTTTTCTCTGTTGTTCTAATTGCTTGTGAGTAATAGAATATGTGGATGGGTACTGCCTACACATTTATGTACAACTTAATAAATAAAACTGATTAACTTCAATTGTTTAATCATATCAATTTACAATCATCACTCTTGTTGCCCTACAAGAAAATCTAGAAGGATTTTAAAGGGTGAGCTAACTGTGAAGATGCTGTCCCAACCAATCTTAACATACTGCATAGCTCAGGTGTGCAT